ATATAATTAATAAAAGCAATGCATGTTGGATATCCCATAAGGAGGCGGGAATAGAATCAATAAGAAATATTCATGTTCTATAAACGACATACTAAAAGCAACGTCCGTTGAGTTCTTAGGCGTGCGTTGACTTAAAAAAATTCAAAATGTACGGAAGACTGTGTAGAATCAGTACTGAATAACACGAGCTAACGTGTAGGAATTAAACTAAGCTGCTTGCTTTTCATCCACTCGCTTTTGCCATAACAGAGCAGTCAGTATAAACTAGATGGAAGATGGGAATTAAAGTAGTGATTAAGATAAATTTAATGTAGTTAAATGTAAACGCGRCAATGGGAATCGACAATGGGATTCATTCGCTGCTGCCGCTGGTGCGGTGCACTATTCGGAATCGGAACTACTAACGCGACAATGGGATTTCTTTTCTAATCAGCTCGGAATCCTCGGACGCGACAATGGGATTTCTTTTCTAATCAGAGGAATCGGAATCGGAATCCTCGGAATCGTTGCTTCGACGGCGCTTCCTGCCWGCTTTTGGACTGAAGTGCTGCATGGCAATGGAGACAAGGGATCCAAGAGCACTTCCAATTGCCTGGTAGGCCTCCTGCCTTTCTTCCCTGGCTCTCAAAGAAGCTCTCTCGCGCTGTTCAACACAGGCCTCCAATGCCTTAATGATGCCTCGCTGCTTTGAATTGGCACTGTTGTAAGAACGGACACGCGGGGCTCTGCTGCTCCTTGGTGTGGTTGACGATTCAGATATGGCTCTTGCATCGACAATTGGAACTGGGAAGGTCTCTTCCTGCTGATTACTMGTAAGTTGTGAATCTTCTGTTTCTTGCGACGAGGAAGCTTGTCGGAGTTCGTTCTCGTTGTCACGACTAAYRTTGCCACTGTTGTTGCTGCTGTTGCTGTTTTCAGCAGCTGGAGCGCGATGATTTCCTTCAGGATCWCCATTCCTTCCATCAGGATGCACATATCCTTCTTCAATATCAAAGTGCTCCTCTCCATCTCCAATATCTGCCTTCTCTCCAATCAAGCGCTTGGCCCTCTTGGCTAGTCTCACTGCCAAAGGACAGTTAGGATCTCCAGTAGGAATGTTCTTCCTATGAAGGGATGCAAACTTCCTACGGATGGAGTGGACATCCCTATTGGTGTAAGGATAGTKTTGGGCGTGAGTGGCTTCTACTTCATTCCACTGGYCACTCCCAATAGGAAGCYTTGCCAAGATSRWGTACATCAAGTCAATGGTTTCCTGAGTGGAATAGTTGGTTGTTCCAGATCTTCTGCCTCCTCCACMAGCAACGATTGGTGGTGCTKGAGCTTCTTGTTGCTGCTGCTGTCCCTGTCTTGTTAAAACCATCTTGTTGGGGAATCAACGTTGTTCTTTTTGTGGTGCTGTCGGAATCGATGCCGGAAACTACACGTGATTTGCTGCATGCAAATCGATGCCGGAAACAACACGCGTTTYGCTGCATTCCAACCAGTTCCTCCCCCGGGGAAGGGGGGGGGGTTCTCAGGGTTCTCATTTAATTCCTGTTGACATGACTCCATCAGTCTTCTTCCTTGTCTCCATGGTCCTTTTAGTGAGGATGCTAGCTAGTAGATAAGAATTCCGACCAGCACTTCAGATTTTGTATAGTGAGCCTTTGGATTTGTTTTGGCGGGCTCCCCYGGCTCTTTCTGACACTTTAGATTTGTTTTGGCGCGCTCGCTGGCACCATGTGTTCTCAATATTTGGCGAGAATTCAGTTATTTTTCTGTTAATTTGAAGCAAAATTCCATATTCCTAAATTAAGCACATGTAGCGCGCCATAATTCAATATCTATGATTCTATGCCTTTACATACTTATTCCCGTAGAGTCATAGACTCGATTTATGTCAGCATAGATTCTATGTTTACGGGAATGACCCAATACGTCGACTGTTTTCTAAAAATTTTTAGTATTATTTATGATACCCGGTAAATATGCATGCTCGCCAGATCACGGATTCGAGTCTTATATCTCACCTATTTATTTAGGAGCCAGGTTTTTTTCGACGTACAGGAATGCGAAAGCGTGACTTGACGACGAAACAATACTACTTTAATACTAATCATGTTCTGGACCATGAATTCCTGATGTTTTGTTCCATCCCAACTACGGGCGCGGGAACTTCAATATTAGTACTATCTTCGGTGCCCAGCGCGTTGTCGGCATATCGTTTTTATTTCGCACGCCAGTCACAACGACGGGATCAAAGAAACCAAACCAGCACTTGTTTTTATTCGAAAGGGAGCTTTGAGGTAAAGGATGCCAGAGGAAAAGCAGAAACAGCAGGATGATGTCGAGGGAAGATTGTTTCCTTTCAAGGTGAAGAAGTTTTTGTCCGGGGTTGCATCGGCTGGTCAAGCTGCATTAAAGGAAGCTCAAGAACGACACCAGTCAGCCTTGGATTGCAACAGCAGTCATGATAAACCTCCCATCCCGGGGCGTGTTCTCCCCAAACCGAAAGATCCAAGCCAGGGGAGAATGAGTGGTGGTGTTACTGAAAGCAGTAAAGTGCAAAATTTGCTGAGAACACCCCCAAAACCTACAACTAGCAATGGTGTTTCTATTGCAGTTTCTCCAGAAATTGCTGCCGATATGAGTAAGGGTGCCCATGACCATGACTGGGAAATGTTGTCGACAGGCGAAAAAGCATCGACTTGCTCTGAAGTCTTTGTATCGGGTCCTCGGGCAGGATCGGTCCGATCTATTAGGTCTTTAGATCACGATAGCTCCAATCAAACGACGCTGTCTATTCCCTTTAAAATCCAGAGGACAAATTCCTCTTCAACAATTGACTCTCAAGACAATGTCCTTGGTCCTAGTGGAAAGGGGATTTTAGGAGTGGACTATATGGAACATGTCGTTCTTCCTACGGACACTTTGCAGGGAATATGCATAGCCTATAAGGTGAGCGCGTCGCAATTGCGTCGAGCCAACCACTTTTCTGGCACCCTCCATTCGGCTCCAAAGAAGCTTCTCATTCCGTTGTCAAAGCAAGCGCTCCGCACTGGTTTCATCCGAGTGCAAGACACGGATACCAAGGAATACAAGTTGCATTATTTCCAGGCCGAATTTCCTGATATTAGCGCTGCAGAGGCCAAGGGGTACCTAGAATTGGCGGATTGGGAACTTAAGGAAGCCGTTCAGTCTGCCAAGGAAGATCGGGAATGGGAGATCGGTGACGGCATAGATGACGAAAATGGACAATATCAAGCAAAGAGTCTCAAATCAGGGCAAATCGGTATCAAACTGGGTTTCAGCGGAAATATTCCTACGTTCAATCTTATGGGATCGGGGCATTCGTCCTCGTTTAAACTCTTAATGAAAAAAAGCAACAAAAGCTACGAAAAGAAAAACGAAAGCCATTTCGAGAAGGAAACAACAATCGTCCATTCTCGACCTCCAGCCATTGCTAGTAAGTCGGTTCAAGTAGAAGATCTATTTAATGCAGCTGACCAACACAATTCTTACGGGTTCGAACTAAAACCGATCCCTAAGCGCAACGATAGTTTCACCAACTGAAATGAAACATAATCATGGCAATATAGTGGTGCTTTTATGTAACTTTTTTATGTAACTCTTATTGTTAAATTAACACAATTAATTACGTGGCCTAAGAAACCAGAACATTTCACGACGGGACACTCTCTCATACGACCTCAACATAGTTTGTTCCGTCGCCTCTGAAAATTCTGTATCATATTATCTTTGGTTATTGTTTGACATTAAGACAAGACTTGGGAAAAATCTCCAAAAATCGTTCTTTGTCTATTTTGGAAACGCTTCAAGAAGGAAGCTGTAATCGATGACTTGTTCGGAATAAATTCACCGACTGAAATTCGCATGAAAAGGCACCGTAAGTTGCGTACTCGTACCGGCAAATGAAATCTCTAAGATATGGTCTTTCCTGTCCAGATATGAAGAATCACTGACGCTTGACATCAACAATTTTGTTTTATTTCGGTTGGGAGGCAGATTCGGTGAATGGAAACTTAACCTTGATGTCTTGCAAATCATGTCGTCAAAGACACTTGAAACATCATTAGTTGAGTAAAAAATGAAGTTATATGTGTTTAATTACAGTGTCTATCATTATATGAACAGCAAGAGTTACTATTCCAAAGACATCTTTCGAAGCTTCGATTCGGTCTTTACCCAAAACTTCAAACTTCGCTTTCGGAGAAACATGCAGAAAAACGAAATAAATTATTGTTGAGCATGAACCAACATGTTGGCGGAGGCTAATGCCTCTTCCATAAAGTCCTTAAACTGTGGGTCCATTGTATCCAAAGGTGGTCTGCAGAACGGACTATCGATGATTCCCATTCGGTGCGCGCACCACTTTGCAGGGATGGGGTTGCTTTCGACAAATAGCCGACTATTTAGAAGAGCCAATKGTTGGTTTAGCTCTATGGCCAGCTGATCATTTCCATCCAATGCTGCATGGACCATTTCACGAACCGCCTTCGGGACAATGTTGGCTGTTACGGATATACACCCATCTCCACCTTCGAGCACAAAGTCGGTTGTGGTCCCATCGTCACCACTGAACTTCAAAAAATTTCTGCTGGCTTCTTCGCCGAGAACGTTTTTCAACGAAGTCAATCGAGAAACATCACCGGTGGCGTCCTTAATTCCGACAATATTTTCGTGTTGCGAGAGCGTCGCAACGGTGCTGTCCGAAAGATCTACGGCGGTTCTTCCGGGAACATTGTACAAAACAACCGGCAACCCCATATCCGCCATTGTTGTGAAGTGGCTGATCATAGCTCTTTGCGGTGGTTTGACATAATATGGCGTAACGAGTAAGCTGGCATCAGCTCCTAAATCGATTGCTTGTTGCGTATACTTCTTGACATCGTTCGGATCAATGGTTCCTACTCCTACCATCAAAGGGATTTTCCCTTTGGCTTTGCCGACAATTGTCTTCAAGGCTAGCTCACGCTCGTCCATGGACATGACAGAGGCTTCGGCTGTTGTTCCGAGAACACAAAGATTGTCTGTTCCTGCTTCCAAGTGAAAATCAATTAGTTTTTCTAGTCCGGGAACATCAATTTTATTATCTTCTGTGAAAGGCGTGATGAGTGCACAAGTAGATCCTCGCTTCAATGGCATCATCTCATTCGAATTTGTTCCGACATGCAATTGTGTGGCACTTGTTCTTTGCGACCCAGACGATGTAAATCCTGATTGTCGTCCGAAATGGCAGCAAAAGAAACACGCGGTGACGGTTCAACCAAACCAAATGGATGCCAACCACAATAGAACGCAATTTGTCAGAATAAAATTAATGCAGGCACCGACATCGGTAGATGCGATAGATGATATGGTTCGGTCAGATTCTCCGTTGTTTCCTTTAGGTTCGAAATCTGTACGTACCGACTGCCGATGGCACCAACAACGATAGTGATATCATTCGAGCCTTCATATTTGTTCTTTTTTCTATTTTGTCTGCTATTGAACTATTGAGAATGAATGTTGACTGTCAATAGAATGTTACTGCGAGTACCGTAAGGCTTGCAAGGTGAGGTGACTTGAATACGTCGTGGTTTTGGAAATCAGCTGTTTGTAAACGCTTATCCCTGGTTGCTATGAGACGGCAGCTGCCAGAATCATGAAGCAAAGACGATGGGCGCAAAAATTCAGGAAGAAAATGGTGGATGACGGTGAAGTAGGATTCATTCGCAAACAGGTCCTTAGTTGGTAGGGAGGCACTCGTGTCGAAAAAAAATCGTCTCAGGATTGTTCCGTCGAAAATGAGTGTGTTCGGACTTTTAAATGGTGTTTCTTTCTCCTACCGACCGACCGTGTCTCAGCCAACCAATTCACAAAACACCATATTGCGTGGCCGAAAAATATGAAAATTCAAAGCTGCGCGTACGCGCGAAACAGAGAGGATTGATTCACCCTGAAAAATTGCCCCTATTTTTGTAGCTAACCCCTCAAAGCACATGAACTACTTTTACCTGTAGTACGTACTACTGTACCGGCCGGTATTACATTACTGGACTGTAATAGGAGGTTTGGTTGTTATCTACAGTACGGTATGTACGTACATACATACCGGCTGGTATTAGGTACTGGAGGCCAGGGGTCAAAAAATTTTAGACCCCTGCTGGGTGGTAACTCGTACGTACCGTACAGACCCCTGCCGTACAGTACACCAATACAGAAATTATCGAATATCGTACGGTACGTTCGGGCTCGTACTCGTTCCAGTTTGCCGTAGAGATATCTCTCAGCTGTTCTTTTCAATACCCAACCATTTTTTTCTTTCGATGCGAGCTCTCTCTCACACCATCTCACAACCTGTTCCCTTCTCCGACTCTAGCACTCACAAAGTTCTCAACAGCATAACATAGATTACGAATTACGAACCTAAAGGGAAAATAGATCCCTGACTGTAGTAGAACTCAATACCAACTTTACATCACATAATGTCGAACAAGAACGCGGAGGTTTCCAAAAGCGAGGAGAGCTTTTCGTGGACGAGGGACGGGAAAATCTTATCGAAAAATCTGTTGTACACTCCGCTGGTAGCATATCAAAAAGCACTGCTTATCGAGGAGCCATCGACCTCTACGAAAACTGAGTACCACCCATCCCACTACATGCTCAGTAGAAAATCGGTGCCCAAATCTCTCCAGGAATCATCTTTGGTTTCTCTCTTCCATTCGGTTTCTTGTGACTACCACCGGAATCGTGCGGGAGTGAACGATGCCAAGAACAATGGGAGTCGTCCGATGGGCTTGTCGGATATAGAAGAGAAAATTCGACAACGTGCCATTGCTTTGATAGGAGGAGGCATAAATTCATCGATTTCAGTCAGTCAAAAACCACCGCGGTCGAAAAAAAGAAGACAAAGGAGCTGGGAAGAGAAAAATGACGTTCTCGATAGGTTTTCTTCTTCGTCTGGAGCGTCGAAGTTGGCCGACGTTGTCCCCTTCCTCGAAAGGCTAAATGCTGCTTGGAATGAATATATCTGGGAGCTTCTTGTGAGAGATAGAATTTCTATTGATAGTAGGAATGTGACAGGTGATACCGCAAAAGAAATCAGAAGCGAACTATCCCGTTTGACGTGGCCCAGGATCGATAGCAAGATATTACATAGTAGTAACGTTAGTTCAAGAAATGCAAAAGAGGGAATTTTTCACCATCCTTTTGAGATAATTGGATCCCATGTTCAGATCAAGAGTTGTAAATCGCATCGCTCCTGGTCTGGAAGGTTTGGTGTGGTGGTTGGTGAAACGACAAATACGTACCGAATCGCGGGTTTCGTTTGTCGCAAAAACAAGAAAAGGGCAAGAAGAAAGAAATCAGACACCATAAAAGCCAGGAAGGTTGGAACGAGCGATACTAATTATGGAAACAGCGAAGTTGAAGCATTGGCCTTGGAACAAAATGCTTCCCATGATTTCAAAGAAAAGCGAAATGATAAGGCTGACTCAGGCGTTGGTGGATCCGATGCATTACGCGTCGAAGTCTTTCTCTTGCCGAAGCTTGGATCATCCTTTCAGTTGATCATTCCGCTTCCATTCAATCAAGCAAAACAAAAGAATGCTAATGAAAGTAAGACAGTTGATACAGACTGTAGCGTCATTCCAGATAGTATAATCTCCGTTCCGACTGAGGCAATTGGTATTTCAATCACAGAGCCGAGCCAAGCAATGTAGTTCTCTTAACTTCTTGTCTGTGAGGCAGGATACTAATAATTAAAATTAACGGTGAAAAAGGTGTTTCTATTTGTAACTTAATACAATGAATATGACGACAGACTAGCCAACAAGGATTTTTCAGGCATATTGTGTTCACGAACAAAATGCAATTCTCAATTAAGTTCACGAAATCTATTTCGTGCTCGAGAATATTCATAATAAGAAGTACTGACGTATAGATGTATTAGGTATATCCAAGCTGACTAACTTAGCGCATTCATTGCTTTTTCCCAGATATGGCCACGGAGATTTGCAGATCAGACAATGATGGTTTTGCGCCGAACACCTTGTGTTTCTCAGTATGACCTTAGGCTGCTGACACACATGTATGTGACCTGCATATCTACAAAAACACCATCAGTCCCTCTCGTCCCACAGGTTTCCTTCGACAAACAATAAACCACTTTTCTCTCCTCGACAAAAAGAGAAATTTTGAGTCGAATTTCGACCATCCCCCCAACTGCAAGAAGACAAGGTGCTCGCAGTTCGAGATCTCAGTGACTTTTAACTTAGTAATTCATTACCATGATTTTCAACACAGAAAAATGATTCTACAGACAAGAGTTATCTGAACATGTTGTGAAGTTGTAGATAAGGGGGCTTCTTTACTATTGCTTAGTATCATGCTGTTTAATATTGGTGGCCCGATGCAGCTGCCTTTTGTCCGAGTTCGAAGTGCTTGGTTCTCTTGTGGCACAATTGCTTCTTGGTCTTACATTTCTTACATTCCAGACGGAGAACAATCTTACGCGTGGTCTTCGCCTTCTTGTGGAAGACGGGCTTGGTTTGTCCACCGAATCCCATTTGCTTGGAATCGTAACGTCTCTTTCCCTGGGCGAAGTTAGACGCCTTTCCGGCCTTGTATTGTGTGACCTTGTGGAGGGAATGCTTCTTGCATTTTCCAGCGCAGTAAGTTCTGCGTTCTTTAGGAACATTAACCATGATTTCTTTTTTGTTTCTGCAGTTGTGAGATTTGGATGTCGTACGGGGGGAACGGGTTCGAGAGAAATTTTAGTTAGCAATACATTTGGAGAGGAAAGATCTGATATACAACCATCTCAAAAAAGACACAGGGATTCTCTATGAAAAGGTAGGCCCGGAGGTAGTAAACCCCATTGCAGAGACCCTGGCGTTCTACACAGTTCGTATCAGCGCCAACGCCGACGCCGACGCCGCAGCAATTCCCCCATTCTCAGCTCGTTGCCTTTTCAAAAGTTTCCCACACTCACGACCTTCAATATCCTTCACCTATGAGATAACACTAAATACGTAATCAACAACTATTGGCTTCGTAACCCCAATAACATACTCACACTTTACAAGACACTAAAAGAGAATGCTGTTCTAGATCCCGACTCTATCTTGGTCGAACGATGATGCATGCGATGCTCGATGAAGACGTTCTGTCCTTGTTTCCGTTCTTGAGCATTCCGGTAGAACTACAGTAAAGTTGTGCTAGTACAAAAGGTAAAAGGTATTCATACTGAGGGAGGTCAGACGGTATTTGTCCAGTCTGATACATTGATCCCGAATTATGGCCCCCTCCCCCTTTTAACTATTGCTACCTGTTCCGGTAGAGTCTTCATCATTTCTTTTTTGCGTTACAATTAAATTTGCAATAGCATACAAGTTCGTACTACGAGTACTAAAAAGCAGTACCTGGTACTTCATACGTACGAATACCAGCATTCGTACGGTACAAGTAGATGCAACCGAGAGAATCCGACACCTTCTGAAACTCACTCGAGAATGACAAAAACAGATCAAAGTACTACCGGTACAAGTAACTCGCTTCATGATACGATACGTAATAGAGCGATATCTGTCGTCGTCACTAGCAGTGTCTTAGATTGAGGAATCCTAACAGAGTTAAGAAGCAACAACCTATAACTGCACAATACTGTCCTGCGCAATGCCGTCTGTTCCCACCGTACAACCAGATGCACGCAGCACCCTTGTATCATTCACAGAAGATCACATCACCCAGTTGATCCGTGAGGCGGTCCAGGTTCAACACCACTGCAAACGCGCTCGGTTCCACCTGTCGAATGACAAAGATACTAAGGCGAGTTCTATCGGCAATGTAGCTGGTGCGAGCACGACCAGCAAAAGCAAAGGCCGTGTGGGGATGCTTCGGCGTCGATTGCACGCCGATGACATTAATATGGCGTTGCAATGGCGAGGGTCGGAAAAGATTTATGCCACGGGGATTGTTGGGGGGGGTCGATTTGTGAACTTGTCCTCGCGTGACGACAAAAAAGTTCTATTGGAGGACTATTTGAAAAGTGAAATGAAAATGAGACCGCCGCAAGAAGTAGGATTAACCTTGCATTGGCTTGCTGTCGACGGAGTTCAACCTAACGTTTCACAGAATCCACCTGGGACGGGTGTTGGTGGTAGTGCAAATGCCAACAAACGGAAACAATCTGCTGTCCATTTAGTTGACGATGTTGACGAAGACGAAGACGGTTCTCGGGGAGTTCAAGTCACTCAATTGCTTCCTCGACTCTTGAGCGAAGAATTGAGATTGTACTTTTCACGAATTACCGAAGCCGTGGAACGCGGAGGAGCAACCCCCGTAACACGACAGCAGCAAGATACAGCGTTGGCATCGTTGATTCGAGACCCTGGCTTGCAGGAACTTATACCATTTATGATTAATTACGTGACCAAGAATTTATTCAAACACTTGGGAAATCCTGAACATTGTCGAACCTTGATTCGGATGGCCCAAGCTTTGTTGGGGAATCCTCACATCCATCTCGAACTTTACGTAAGTGGAAACAGTTGAAAATTTCAGCGATCAAATGATCTCTGGCTTGAACTATTTTTACAAATCTGTTGAATCGATTTTTTTCTAAAACTCGGCGAATCCTATTTCAGTTGCATCAACTCTTGCCTGCAATCTTGACGATGGTTGTGGCAGAACGACTATCATCTAATCCATTTGATAATCACTGGATACTTCGATACGAGGCGGCGCTTTGCCTGGTACAAGCTTGCAATCTGTAGGTAGAATGTTCAAAATATAAAATACTCGCCCTTTTGCGAATGTACGCAGCTACGAACAGCTGTTGCTGCATGTCAAAAACTGCTCTCACATTCCGATTGTTCGTCGTTGTCTTTACTGATACATTTCGCTTTCAATTAATGATGCACGAATATTGAATCCCTCTAGATTCGGGGAAGATTATGCGACGCTAAAAGCGAGACTTTTGAAACCGTTGTCACATGCCATTGGACCAGACAAACCTCTTTCAACCCGATACGGTGGTCTAGTAGCAATTACGTTCTTTGGTCCCAAAGCTATCAACGCCTTTGTTTTACCCTTGGCATTGGATTATTGGAAGCAGTCGGAAACGCTGCTGTCAACGTGCAACAACCTGGAACAGCGAATGGAGATCCAAATGTGCGAACAAGCCACTTTAAATGCCCTGGGCGTATTTTTAGGTCCCGCCAACAAGGATGCACCCGAAGCAATGGGTATGGGGTGGGAGGAATTGGAGGACACTTTTGGGGACAGGTTGGTCATGCTTTGTACAAACGAAACAGAATATGCCACTTGCTTCATTTAATAGCTTGTTAAAGATATCCGAAAAAAGGTAAAATGCCAATGCAAATTTTATATTCAGTACCGATCTTGATGTGGTTACGAACAATAAAGTCAATATCTCCCAAAAAAATTCTCTATCCAATTCATCTAATCATAGGAAAAGTGCCATTTCGTATTGTGACAATTGCTTCATTAAATTAGTTTCAGGGCATGATGCATTAGTTCTGGCGACTGAATCTAGTCCAGAGAGGGTTGCTTCCATGTGAATTCTTCTATGTAAGCGCCAAGCTCGTCGTCCTCGGTGGCATCCATTACATCGCAACTAGCAGTGCAGGTGTAAACTGCAACACAACCCCAACTAGGCACTTTGTTGCTCTCTTCCATGATCTTTGCTCTCGCAGCTTCCATAGCCTTTTCCGTTGTAGTTGCTAAATCTGGGGGGACTTGTTCTGGAGGTGCTTGCTCCAGTATGTTTGATGCAGCTCGCACTGCTTCAGTATCCTTCTTGCTTATTAAATTTTGGGACTTCTCTTTGTTTTTCCTTTGATGATCTTTCAACAAGTAATGAAGCATTTGAGGCATGAGCTGAAATTCAAATCGACGCTCTGCACCACACTTTTCACACTGAGATATATTCTCTTCATTCGGTGTATAGTCCGATCGAATCCATAACGGGGAAGCTGTTTCGCGGCTCCGCTCTTCATCTGGCCATCTCAAGTAACGAAGGCACTGTGTGTTGACATTAGTGATCTTGTTTATTCTATCAAAAAAATTCATTGTAACAGTATCTTTTGTCACCGTCTCGGGCCCTGCTCCAGTCATGTCGTTCAAATCACCTTGTTCTAAATTCCTATCAAATTCTTCGTCGCTGTCGTTATCTTCTATATTCCCAGCCTTGAACATAGTATTTCGAGCTTTTGCATCCGACTTGTCATCGTTACCAATTGGGGGCTCTTCTTCCACTACTAACTCAGATGAAGTAAGCACAGAGGGCATGAAGCAAGAATCTGAACCTTCGGTGGATGTATCCTTCCTTACATCGAAAGCATATTTCTTGTATTCTTTTTGATGGTGCCTGCCGCAAAAATATTCCCCTTGAACTGGACATTTCCCATTTCCTCGTTGACCACACACCTTGCAAAGATTGACATCCCAAGCCTTTGGAATGTGCATGGCCCAGCACTCGTCGTCTTCTTCTTCGGGTAAATAAGGATTGATCGCCGGTAATTGAGTGCGTATTACCCGTATTGTACCAGTGGTTTCTTTGGCACATTCAATGTTTGGGCAGGCGAACACATAAAATGATCTATGAAAGGCGTTCGGGTTAATGTCATCGCAAGGGCAATAGAGCTGACACACGAATACCAGGGGATCTTCACAGCATTTGCATACGAGATGGTGCTTGGGAATATCTTTTGGATTTAGCCAGGATGGCTTGCCTCCTATCTGGCCACCGTCCCAATCTTGCCACAACGGCAAATTGTGGCCCGCCATCATCCGATGATCGTCGTCGTCGAATTCAACCGAAAATCCTAGTTGGACTCCCGTTTTGTTGGCGGGATTATCATTTTCCGAAGGCATCATACCTATCGGTGTCACTATTACTTTACCACAGAGTTTGCAACTTTCTACCCAGCGTTCCCCTCCCAGAGTACGAACAAGAGATAGTCTTCCATTCTACTTTTTGGAAGGACTCATGGCGCGGCTGTTTTGAAAATGGAAAATTGATGAGATCTCAAATTTCACGATTGATAATTGTGTGGTTGATGATATTTCAAAGGTTGATGAGTCGATTGAGTCGTTCCCAACACATCTCAAAAACTTACAGCAGTACGATACGTCTTCCAAAAGTACTACGCACCACGTAAAAAAACAGCTGTTGGAGACAGTCTCTGTACCAAATTCCAGAGCTCGCCAAGATGATGCCTTGGGCTCAGCAAAAAAATCCAGTCGACAGTTCGTTATTACAGGAGGAGATACACTTAACAACAAGGATTATTTTATTGCTGAAGAGAGGAAGCAAAGGCAAGAGCACATCAAAGGCCTGGAGTCACTGAAGAAAAAAGCCAAAGCAGTATCTGAGTTTAATGCCAAGCAGGTTACTAGGTTAATTGAAGAGTGTGCCTTTAAGAAGGGGGGAAATGTTAAGAACAAGAATGAGGAACGACGAAGATGCCAGGTCCCTACCAGTTTCTACACTCAAGTTATTGTGCAAGTGGAAGCAACAAAAGAAAATTCCTGCAAAGAAAGAACAAGAAGTGCTTGATCTTTGGTTGGAAGTGAAGGGTAGTATGACTTTCCCTCCAGAATTTGCTTGTTGGAGTGAGGATGATGAGACCCAACTGCAAAGACTGAAAGAAGATGAGATTACAATCAAGGATACCGCTTTAACAAGAAAGGAGAGAGCAAGGCTCCAAAAAGAATCCCTGGACTGCATTGCAAGCATGACTGAAGAAGAGAGAGCTGCATGCAATATGCCTGTTAATGTGCTTGAAGAAGGAGTGAAGGAAATGGTTGTTGGTAAAGTTGCTCAAGTTTAGTGTCCAGTAGTTAGCCCCTCATAGAGTGCTCTAGCAGTAGTAAGTGTTTTATTGTAGAGAAAGCTGTTCTTTGGAATGGATTTATATTTGGTAGTGTTTCTATAGATATTCAATTCAATTCAATAGATCTGAATTCTCATCAAAAAGTGAGTAAAAAAGTGAGCAAAAATTAGCTCGGAAATGCTCCAAAATAGGAATCTCTTCAACTGAAATAGTTTTATAAAAAAAGTGTGACAGGTTCAAGTTGTGAAGGCAAATGAGGTGTATTGTTCCCTCTGTAGAGCGGTGTACAATTTTTTGTACCAACTCTAGACCTGTCACCACCTCATTGTTTGCCTTTGTTCCTCATACTTCAGGAAGTAGAAGTAAAGCACAAGTCTGTCGGACACAACAGATACAAGGGACAATGAAGCATATGTCCTGGTTGCCACAGGAGGTACAAATATACTCCTCATGCTTGTTGTTTGTCCAGCTGACTTCCCTGTTTGTGCTGAACAGCAGGTGCAACAGTAGGTGCAACAATGATAGATACAACAATAGTAGATACAACAACAGCAGCAACAGCAGCAGCAACAACAACAGCAACAACAACAGCAACAGCAACAGCAAAGCACCACCACCAACAACAACAAGAACAGCAGCAGTACCAACAACAAGAACAAGAACAGCAGCAAGAACATGACAATAGGCCCAACAGCAACAATAACAAGAAGAAACACTCTTGCCTTTGAGGACCAGCAAAATAGGGTCACAATGACACTCATAGTACTAGTAGTAGGGAACCAGAGGAAGTAGAGGTCGTAGTAGTACCACAAAAAGAATCCATTTAATGTCACACAAAATAGTACTACTAAATTCTCAGGAGAACCACCACCAGCATTTTAAAAAAACTGCTGGGCTATACTGACTATTATTCAAAAATTAAAATAGTACTACTACTACTAGCACTACTAGTAGAATTTTTGATAAAGTTCTTGTAACTGCTTGTTAAAGGTTGGATAGTTTTACAAGTAGTAGTAGTAGTTTTCTGCAGTAAAACTGTGCAAACTGATGATTTTAAAAACCTTGGGGAGACTTTTTGGAAATTTGGACCAGCACCATACATGGCGGAGGAATATGAGTTCTTGTTCTCCTCAGCACCATTAGCTGCAGAATTTTTTGACCAGCACACACCACCCCTCCTCAACTGTTCTTGTTCTTCTTGTGTGAGGATCTGCTACTACTAGTAGTACTAGCAACTGCTAGTAAGAATAGTGAGTAGTAGTACTACTACTACTAGTAGTAGTACTGTGATGATGTTCTTCTTGTTGTTGTTCTGCTGGTGCTACCACTACTACTACCAGTTGTAATACTACTACTACTACTACTACTACTACTACTTGCTGTAGAACTAGCTACTACTAGAAGTAGTACTAGTACTAATATTTTCAGTTGTGTTGAACATCAATAATGGTGCTCTCTGTCCTTTCTTGTGACAAGACTATCACCAAGACGCAGCACGTCAAAACGAATACAGTACCGTAATTCATAGTGGGTTCGCTAGTTTTGAGAATATTTCAGTAAATCGTCAAAAAGTCTCCGAAAATATTGTCCATTGAGCGCAGCGTGAAGCGTTGGCTTCCCCCAAAAATCCATATTTTGAAAGGGCGAGCACGCGAGCTTGAATCAAAACGCGCGGTAAACTAACGTACGATGTCGTAAAGTAATTAGGATTCATGATAAGAAAAATTATTTCCACGACTGTTTCGAAACGTTGTGGCCGTTGGTGTCATGCACGCGATAATTTTGAAAACAGACTGAAGGGTTGGATGCTCGATAGCGAGATGTCACTTTTCTCAATTCTTTTTTGTCGATCGGTCTCATTGTCAGTTCACATCACCGAGTATTGTTCAACCGAAACTCAATAACGTGACTTCTCAATATCATATCACAGTTTGTGTTTTCTGCTCTGTCCATCACATGCCGATGGCGAATCAACGCAAAAAATAATCTGTGAGTTGAATTGAGTTGAGTCGAAACGTTGCGTTGGATAAAAACATTGGCGTCATCAACGGATTCAAAATTACTACGGCACGGGTTGAAACACACAATCCGAACGAGATAGAGAAAAAGAATTCATCATGAATTCTTCTGTCACTGTCAGATCCCCAAAAGCGCCGAAACAGACGAACACTTATCTTACTGTGAAATCGACGGACGATACTTTGAGGAAAGACCAACAGATTGCAGAACACTCTTCACTCGGTCGCCATCGAAGTTCTTCACAACCGAGACAATTTCAACAAACGGATCTTCTGCCGTCAGCTTTCACATCCATGACTAGTAGAAGTTCATCACAACCTAGAGCATTACAGAATGCTCATTTTCTGGATGGTTTCAACGTTGCTGATTGCTTCGACGTTCGTGCTATCCCAGATCCACCGTCACCACGTAATATCAAGTCTTGCCATCGTCGTCGCGTATCGTCTGCTGTGTTGCGACCAATGTCTTCGAGGGATATTACAAATAGGGGAAACAATCAAAATACGGCAACTACTGATGACGTTGGCGTTTGTACAAAATCGAGCTCAAGCGTCCGCCGGAAAAGGAAGACTCTTTCTCACGTTCCATCGACCATGATTTCGGGGTGGGAGCAAAACAACGCAACTAATGCTGCTCGTTCCGCAGGTGACAAGGAAGTCAAGGACACCGAAGTGAAACCAAAGACTCTCGAGATTAACTTGTGCTATGATGACGACTCTTCTAGGATGGCCAGGGATTATGCTAAACGTCGAAAAAAAAGACAGAGCTTGGTTATACCCACTGATCTTCCTTTTGAAGAGCAAAACGATACGTCGATCAATATATCACCTAAGCCTTCTCAGACCAGCAGCAAAGTCGGCAAAGCTTTCTTTCCAGGTGACTTTAGAAGCATGCAAAAACTACGTAATCTCGTTCGGGGATATTGTTCTTTATCGTCTGAGGCAGAACGGGGTGTCTCGAATGAGGGAAGAGAAATCGAATTATTGACAGGGTATGGTTTACCTAGAAAAATGGAAACGGACCAAGTTGGCGATAAAAGTAAAGCAATGCTTTCTAATCGTCGCCTGGTGATTCAGAAGATCGCACCTGTACTAACTCAAATGGAAAAGCGTAAAGAACGTGATATTAAACACTGGGAGAACGTGACGAGGTGCCATGTAAAAAAGTCGGAAAGGTCAGGTAGATATCGATACTACGACGTTCAGAGCAATGAAAGAGTGGGAAGTCAAGAGTATAAGAGAAGGTACATCTCTCACTTGGAAGATTGTAGGCCCGAGCGATTAGAAATGGCTAAAGTTTGGATGAATAAGGTCAGCCGAGTGGATGAGTATACGGCTGAACATCATAACGAATGTGCAATCAATGATGACTCAATTGGTATTTTTCAGCAGGATTGTAATTATATGGATTACTGTGCTATCCAAAAAGAAGCCTTTTCCCCTCCAAGGGATAAAAATCTAAGGCGCATCGAACGTAGAGACGCTGGGTCTAGCGATACGATGGACATCTGCGATATGAGCATGAGCCTTGATTGTGGGGAACAACAATCAAGTGATCCATCTATTTTAAGTAGTAACAGCAATGTAGCGGCACCATCATCAGTTTTCGAAAGAAGCGAAATAGCAGAAATCAGCGAAGCCTCGTCTGAGGACACCGACGACAATCCGCAGGAATCAAGGTCGCCGTCTCCTACTATGGATGTCCTTCCAACTAAGCTAACCACAATGGAAGTGAACGGCACTATTATACGTGCGGTCGATAACCATGAGAAAGGAAAATCCATCCTTCTAGAAGCTCGCGACGACGATGGGGTTAAGGGCGGAAACAATGACACAAACAATCATACTTTGCTTCCATTTCCAGCACGAGATAGTGAATCCATCGATCCGGAAATTGCAGCTGCCGAGAGAAGATTATGGGATAAAATTGATCTCGCGTTGCACGAATACTCCAACGAAGTCATGAATATTGAAAAACGGAAGCAAAATCGATTGGCATAAGTGTTCGTCTTGTTGGACAGGGAAAACCAACAGAAATTAAAGTATCAAATGTACGCATACTTCTAGAACTGCTTGATAGACCATCGAATAGTTTTATTAACAAACTCTAATATAAAATAAAAGTGTTCCAGAAAATACGTTCTTTAAGTTCATTCTCAGAAGCGAAAACGAACAGGAATTATACCCTTAAAAGGTATTTTCTACATACGGTACGTAATGGTATCGTAGCACTTGGTTTTGTCCTCAGGTAACATTGTACTGCAGAGAATATTCAAGTTACTGTAGTTAATTCAGACCTATTTTCTTAAGCGGCTGACTTTAGCCCATCGATGATCGCCTCGTATTTTGCAGTTAGCTTGCTTTCTGCGGCCTTGACCGCTTCCGCCTTCTCCTCCTGGGCCTTCACGATATAATCCGAGATAAATGCTCTGTATGCCTGTACCTTCTCGGTCAGGTCCTTGTTCGTAGCCGGGAACGCGAATGAATTCCCGGAAGTGGGCGTCGTCTGCTTGTTCACAGACTCTAGCTCCGCGATTTTTTGTTGCAATTCGGCGATCTGCCCCTTGTACTTGTCTTCGACACGTGCCATGGCGGCCACCTTTTCCTCGTGGGCCTTGGCCATGAAATCGGTAATGGCCGCGGCGCTCTCCGCCGAAGGGACTACCGCATCATCGCTTTTCCCCCCGTCGGCCTGGATTCGAACCGTGCTTCTTGCCGCTGAAAGAGCGGGCCGACCAACGAAGGCTGTTGTTGTGTACGCAAGTGAAAGACAAAGAATCGCCATGGCCAAAACCGCTGCGATGTGCGTGCCGTGCGTCGCGAATCGTCGCTGTGGTCGAAGAATCATTTTTCGGCAGTTCTTAGCGTAATTTATTTGATTGGGTTGTACGGTGTTAGGCCGGGTTTGGGATGAAGTTTCTGCAGCTGAAACTCGTAATTATTGTGCTCGTGGGATGTCAATCGTTGACAAGAGGGCAACTAGAACCCTCCGATACGCACACTAGGTATTCGTGGTACGTAGTTTTAGATATATAGATCACAGCTATCTGCTGCTTCAAGATATTATTATTTTTTTATCGGATAAAGCGAGAAAGTGAAGTTATTCACTAGCTGTTCGGGATTCATTCCGAACAAACCGTCATAGTGAATTGCCTCGAGAACGCAAATAGTAGTACTTACCACAATGCAAAAACTATGTCATTGCCACAATAATGACGATGTTTAAGTTAAAAATGAATAATCTATTTTTGGTCAAGGTACTAATTTATTTGCAAAAAATGGTATACCAGGGTTTACACAAATCCACACTAAATCAAAAAGTTTCTTTGTTTCCTCAGTAAGTCCAGGGCTGTAAGAATTCTTCAAGGTTACTGGCTACTGTGAACTCAAGATAGTGCAACAGTCCAGTGCACTGTACTAGCCAAATATTTAATATCAATACAGTACCAGTTTGGGTACGAAATAAGACGTGACAGCTTTTTAACAGTACAAAATCTACACAGCTCTACCCGGAATGATAATCTTAATTTACACCCTGCACCTAAAGCTGTCACTTAGTTCCACCTGGAACCAAAAAGGAACCCGGTATGGCGCAAATTGTTATCAGAAGGCCCACTGATACGGAGGAGGATGCTGATATGGAGGAGCTACTGATACGGAGAATGCTGAATACAGATGAGGATGCTTGCTGATACTACAGAGGGTCGCTGATATGGAGGAAGCTCGCTGATACAATATGGAGGCTCACTAATACGGAGGACGCTTGCTAATATGATGCAGAGACTTGATGATCGGAGGCTCACTGATATGGAGGACACTTGCTGATGCTTCTTGTTTTGCTGTTACACTGCAGCTTCTTTTTGTTGCAATTTTTTGTCGATTTTGATGCTTGTTGAATATAGCTATTTTCTTCTAAACCACTTGGTCGATTGATCCAAGACTTCCGGATCCTCTTCCCCTTAATGTTAGGATTAGAACACTTATCTTGTGAGTGTGATTGGTTGGATATTGATGAAGAACTAAAGAGGTGACAGCTTGCTAGTATGCTGGAGGTTGTGTTAATGAGATTTTTTTGGTGTGCAGAGAAATCAACAAGCGGGAAAAGGTTCTCCGTCAAGAAATATATACAATATGCACATGTATCAAAAGAGTCAGATGGATTCTCTAATTCTGATTGGTGCTTTTGCTACTAGAATTAACAAGCAAGCAATGATAGCTAAAAACTAGCACATTTTATGTACTCATAACCTGTTAGAAATCAATAGTTTTATTTTGCACCCAAACTGGTAAATGTTACAAGCAGGGCTTGATTACAGCAAAGTGGTTTAGCTAGCAGTAGATGGTTGTTTGGTTGTACAGTACTACTAGTAAGAATGTGTAAAAAATTCCATGTCATCTGTGAAGTAAAGTACTATGTTAGTGTTAGTGGTAAATATTTGGAATGGTACCATATTATTTGCTGAAATGGATTGGTTTTCAGAACTTAGTACTTCCTCCGGTCCACTATATGTGTCGTTGTGTCCCTGTTTTACTGGTGCTGAATATGTGTCATTGCAGTTGGGCGTATGTAGGATTGTGTACATTCATTACCAGGAACTTCCTTTGTCACTATTACTCTTATTTTAACTACTTCTTGTTACTATCACTATTATGCTTCTTGTTGTTGTTCTTCCTCAGCAGCAGCAGCAGCAGCAGCAAGAACTCACCTTCCTGCTGGTGCAATGCAATCTGGCTTGCAAATAATCCACCAAACTGGGAGCACACCCACACGTATCAGGCTTTCTTTTCCAAGATGGTGAAGCTTGTAGTTATTATCACCCCTAACACCAAGTGAGGCTTGCATACAAGCTTGCAGAGACAAAAACACATTATTCAATGTTTCACGCTTTCACCCATCAAAAGCTTGCTTTAAATTTTGAATCGAATGATCAATCCTCTTTGATCTTTTCTTGTACTGCAAGCTGTGAATTGAATTGAAGAATCCAAGATCAAGAACATTCATGTCTGGACTGTTTGGTGGCTTTGTCTTTACACAAATATTCTACCCAGCACTTTCTGCAGCTTTTGCAACATCTTCTCTGATTGATAGCTTGTGTGGCTTAGCATTGTCCTGCTGAATGAAAATCTCAGGAGGAGGACTCCTGTCTACTCCTCATGGCCACTTTTTGTAGATTGCAGGAGGCACTTCTTTGAGCAACTTTTGCTTGTACACCTCACTGTTTACATTCTGTGGCTTTGTGACTAGGGTTCCTGCTGGACAGTTGACAGAGTTTCTTTTTGCGAGCAGTTCTTTAAGCATGAAAGGCCAGATCCCAATTTTTCCATCAAACCAAGCATTGTGGCGCGAATCATACCTTGGATGTGCTATGGTACACATGAACATATCCTCTGTTATATGGTTTTTAGACTTTGATGTAGACTTAGGTTCATCTTCATCAGCAAGCAGATACATTGCTTGCGTAGTCCTCTTCAAGTAGAACCAATTTTCATCAATATGAATCCACTTGAACCAATTGTTGAATCTTCCACTACTTGTATCAATGTGACTCAATATCCATTCAACTCATTGGAGTTTGTTTGCAGGAGTTAGTAGTGGCTTGGTACTCCTGTTGTGCTTTTTAATGTTGCCATGCTTTACTATACAAAGAAGAGATGTCTTTGGAATTCCAGTAGCAGCAGAAAGACTTCTTATGTCACCTCAATCTTTCAGTGGAACATTCCTTACAACCTCATCCAATCCTTCCAAATGCTTGAGTTTGCGATCAGAGTTGGGTCTTCTAGATAGCACATCACCAGCAGGGCAAGTGATGAGATCCACAGTTTGCTTGTGCTGTTTCCAAACCCTTGCAATTGTCCTTATTGATACGTTGTAGGTTGATGCTACTTCCTTGAGGCCTCCCCTTTCCAGAACAAACCCTCCAGTAGAGCTTCTTTGATGATGCTGCAAAAGATACTGAGCAATGGCTAGTCTCTGATTGCTTGCCAAGTTCTTGCTCAGCTTTTTACTACTAGGAGAGGCGTCGCTGCTTGAGGAATTGCCACTGCTTGAATCGCTGCTAGTATTTGGTGAAGAGTTGCTGCTTGGTAAAGAGGCTGCGGCAGTATCATCTTCAGCAGTAAGGAGTAGCCTTGCGTCTGTAATCATCATGTCTGTGTTGATTTGCACTAGAAAGAATCAAGGGGGGGAAAGTGAGTTAAAACAAACAAAACAACAAGCAGCAACAAAGAGACAACCCAACTGGCAGTAAAATCACATTGATGTGCCAAAATGGGCCCTGTTTGAGTAGCTATTGCAATTACGTCAGTGACATTCAATATATTTTTGATATACATGACTGTATAACAGTGTAATAGATCTGTTTAGTGCAAAAAGAAGCATTCCAATCCCCCAAATATTGACCTTATTTCAGTAGTAGAGGTGCAAAATGACACATATAGTGGACCGGAGGAAGTAGCAGTGTAATAATTGTTTGGATTGGTCAAATATTCACTTTATTACTACAATACTATCTACTATGTGGTGTGTTCATTTAGACTGCAAGACTCAGGTGAAAATGTGAGCAATAATGAACATGAGTGGTACAAAGTAAAATTGTGCACAATAATTGATAGAAATTCATTTACAATACTATGTGTAGTACTAATTTGTACCACAAGACTGAAGTGGAAATGTACATAATCATGCAAAATTAAATCAAAATTAACTTAGAATAATAGCTATGCGTGTGAACCAATATTAGTGGTACAGTATTTTGCACAAATATGCCATCAAAATCTCCTTTCAATGAATGCAATAAACAATGTAGTAAATTGAAATTAAATTGGAAATCTCAATAAATTTTATTTTAGACAAAATGTTTCAATCACTACAGCAGTTTGTAATTTCTTAAAGAGGTGATTGTAGTATAGGGTTTATAGTCTCCCATTGTGACTTAGGTCATCATAGCTGTTTTTGATGCATAGACGTTGTGCCAGTACCTCAATTGCTTTTGTTCCAAGTATCTCTTACCATAGGGCTGGGAGCCACCCTAGAAGAAAGGATTCATCTTTGTTGGTGCATGAATATTGTTCCACACCATTATTATTTCCAGGGTTCAAGCTCTCATTTTTTCATTGTGTCCCACACAATTTTGGTCAGCATATTCTGGTTGGAGAATGTCTTTGATATCCATTTGATCACAGCTATCATATCTACTGCCACCTCTTGAACCACAAAATGAAGTTCTTGCTGTAGTAGTTGAAAAAGAAGAGGTTTTTCATCATAATGGTGTTGGTTTTCATTATCATAGTGGCCAAGATATTGTTTTGGGGCTCTGCAACACTCTGCCATGGAGATGCAACCAGTGGTGATTTTGACTACTGAATTTGAATTTACCTCAATTAAGGCAGCTTGCAAAGCACTCCTTTTGATGGAGGTATTCAAACTTTCTTGAAATAGATCTTTGACAACAGTTGGTTTACTAGTCCTTGCTGGTCAGTGAGCTGGTAACAAGTTGTTGTAGTAGTTTTACCTCCACCAATTTTATTATTCAATTCAACATAGTAGGCTGTCACCATTTGACAATCATCACTGGATGGAACAAAGGATGGGTATTCAGATTCAACAAGAAGCTCAACCACTGTAGGCAAATTGACAGTGGTAACAGTAGTCAACTTCTGTTTGGCACAACGTAACAAGAATCTATGCATCCCACCATATTGTTTATCTTGATGAAGACCTCTATTGCCACTCTCACTTTCAACCAAAACAACATAAATGTAATGTCCTCTGCTACAATCTCCTTGCTTTGAAGTCAATCAGGGACAAATGACGAGGTTGGAATATCCTAATTCTAGCTGTTGGTGATAGCAATTCCGTAGTTGACAATTGCAAACTCTGTGATGGGTTCAGGGCTGACAGCAGGTGCTGCAGAAGGTGTTTTGACAGGAAAAGAAGATATATTTTCATCTTAAACAAATGGTGTCATGGATGGCCTTAGACTAATCTTTCCAACCAACAGTGTCAATGTTTGACTAATAGGGACCTTCCCTGAAGGTCTAGCCAAGGGCTCCAAAGTTGGTTCATCTGATATTTTTTGGCGGGCACAGTAGAAGATTCATCAATAGGCTTTGAGAACACATGGTGCCAGGAAGCCCACCAACACAAATCCAAAATACCAGATGTACTAACAACAGGACCCCCATAATTAACCTACTCTGTGCTTTTATCTACTATCACCATAAAAGAGTAGCCCATAAACCCACTAAAAGGACCAACATGATGACAAGGAAGAACCTTGATGGTGTCATGCCAACAGAAATTTAAAGTTGAGAACCCTGAGAACCCCCACCCAGAACAACCCCTCCAAGGAACTGCTTGGAATGTAGCAAAATGCATGTGGTAGTTTGAGCCATCAATTTGGGCAATTTTAGATACAAAAAACAACAATGTTGCTTCTGCCCAAAGACAAGGATGGTTTAAAACAACAGCAGCAAGTGCCAGCATCAGCACCAACTGAAGGAAGAGGCAGGAGGTCCCAAACAAGCAACTCTACCACTCAAGAAACAATTGACTTGATGTATGCCATGTTGGCAAGGCTTCCTATTGGGAGTGACAAGTGGAATGAAGTAGTTGCAACTCGTGCTCAGAACTATCCTTATCTAAATAGGAATATTGAATTGATTTGTAGGAAATACATCCCTAGTGGAGACCCAAACTGTCCTTTGGCAGTGAGACTGTCCAAGAGAGCCAAGCATTTGATTGGTGTCAAGGCTGACATTGAAGAAGGATATGTGCATCCTCAGGGCCAGAATGGTGATCCTGTGGGTAATCATTGAGCTCCTGGCAACAGCAACAACAGCAACAACAGCAGTAGAGTTAGTTGTGACAGGAACAATGGCAACACCAACGCCAATAGCAACCCAAACAATAACATTACCAAAGACAGTGTGCCTCCACCCCCACCACTCCAAGCTTCCTTGTAAGAAACAGAAGATTCACAAGAACGTACTCAGCAGGAGGAAAAAAAATTCTTCTTATGCAACCGGTTGCTTCATCAACCATGTAGATGTTTAATACTAGGGTATAGAGTGTAAGGAGACCTCTGAAGACCCTGTAGTCTACACCACAACTTTTTTGGTGGCACGGAGCTAGTTACTACCACCAAAAATATATGATTCTATAACAAAAACACATACTTCTATGACTGCAAGACAAAGAATTAAATGTAATGGGTGATTTCTGTTATTTTAGAATTGCTAAATTTGATAGACTGACAGACCAAAACTTTAGCACATTCATAGCAAAATTTAGCTACTGAGCAGTAGGATTAGCTAACACAGTTTTATACCCCAATGCAGGATTAGCACATGTGCAATCCCACAAACAGGGGTTCACATCAGCATGCACATGACTAAAAGAGGGGTTCACTTTGGAATGCACATTTATTTACTAGTAGTTGTATTTGCATTGGTATACACATGTAGTATGTCATAGACTTGTCTTCATTGCAGTATACTTTTGAACTTGCATTCAATAGTATATTGATGTATACAATTGCATTGGCCTGTATCAGCAAAAGCGGTAAGCACAACAAGGGTATACAAAGATACTGAATATAAACTGATACAGGTTGATACAGGAGCATACAGCTTGCAGTTTTCTCACCCCTTGTAACATACAGTACCATGATACTATAAAAACAGCAAGCTAATCCAAGAAGCTAACAGCAAGTTAATAAAATTTCCTTATAGTATGATACAAGAACAACTAACAACAAGGGATCATGGCATGTGAGTCAGTTGGTTGCTGATTGCATATTGTCAATCAATTACTAGCAATTGTGTGCGTATTGATTGCTGTATTGCTTGTATTGTTTGCAATTAGTCCTCTAACTAAACTCCCTTGTTTTCAATTAACCACTGTGACCAATTGACCATCAGATTCTCCCTCTAAACACCTCATTTTCATCCAGAGATGGCCCACCTCCTACATGGAAGTACTAGCCTCATGCAAGTCCTCTTTTAATATGGCTTGCCAGGGCTTGTTGCCAGTGGCGTCCTCATGCAGGTTGATAGGATCTGGTTGTATCCCATCATACTGCACTGGAAGTTGTACAAGTTGATTAGAAGGTTCACAAGTTGAGAGAACCAAACATTGAAAATTTGATTGAAATAAACCAAAATATGATTCAAAAACTTGTACCATGGGATTCTACAATTAATTCTCAACCCTTCACTCATAAAAGAGTTTTTAGAAACATTATTTTACAAGCGAGGTACTAGTAAGTCCAGTCAGGATTCTAAACCCATGTGTTCTTTTCCCTAACAAAATATGTTCATTCAGGGGTACAGAATAGGTACACCCCCAAAAATAAACAAAAAATTAGTAGGGGTCAAAAAGCAGTTAATTGACAAGATCCTCTTGTCCTGGTGAACCAATAAAGGACCACCCCAATAGCACACACAACATCAAGCTCTTGCCTCCTTTTCGTTGGGCTTGCCACCGGGATAACAAGGAACTTCCACAATCTCATTGTCAGTGTTGATAGTGTACTTGTTGTAAACTAGAGGAAACAGGTCAACAATCTCTGTGAAGACCTTACTGTAGTCCACACCACAGCAGTTGAGGAGTGCTTGATCAAACCCTGAGTGGAGGAGATGGAGGAAGGGAGAATCAGTATATCTTTAGATTTCAAGCTGGGGAGTTCTTCTATCCCTCCAAGGCCTCTCTTTGGAAGTTTGTCTGTTTCTATAACTTTGGGGTTGCTGGTCCTCATTCAACTGGATGTAGTACCAGCACATCTCCACGACTCCCACTGTGGCCTTCTTTTTTGCTAGGAGGAAACTCTGGTCTAATAGTGTGTCTAATAGTGTAAGGAAGACACATATTTTTGATACTATGAGTACAAGAAGAAACATGTATCCAAAGTATGTGTCTTCCTTCCACTACAAAGTATCCTTGTGGGATTGAAAATTTAATATTTTTCTTTGTACCAAGTGAGGTGGGTGCCTCTTTTTAGTCTTTATGCTGAACTATAGTTAAGATTCCAGATTCCTGAAAAGACTGAGATCAAGCCAGCGTCCCTTGCCATCTATCCACTGAAATTTTGATTCCTGTTAATAGAATTGCTCAATGTGCTAAATATGGCTGTTTAGAGATTCTGCAAGAAAGGGAATGAGCCAATGGGCCATTCCTGTTATTATCAAATTGCTACTTTTGATAGACTGACTGACAAAAATTTAGTACACCTATAACAAAATTATTCCTTTTTAGTCGGGTCATTAGTGGTATCAAAAGAAATAAAATTTATGATGAAACTCACCAATTCTGTTGAACAACTCAAAACAATATGTCACAGTGACATACAAAGGCCCGTCACATGCGTGCCTCTTTTTAGTCCTCATGTTGAACTATACTAGCTAAGATTTCAGTTTCCCAGAAAGAGCCAACCTTCCTCTCAGACTGTCTGTTGTAATTTTGATTCCCGTTAATAAAAGAAATGTGTTAAATCTACGGGTTTAGCAATTCGATAACAACGGGAATGGTCCAATGCGACCACAAATGTAAATCAAATCAATATCATCCATTGGCTTTTTCGGGCAGAGACTGATCATTAGCAAAGAGAACTATTGAAATCCGAGGCACATTTCCGAAGTCAAATTTTGTTGTCAAGGACGAGTTCTGCAGCAACTTTCGTAACCAAAGCACACTTTTCCGCCGTGAAGCAAGTGTATTGAACCCTCTGACCGGCTCAAGAAAACTCCAACAAAATCTTTTCATTCTCTGTGTATAACCTTGCAGACCTTGTCGGCACGTGGAAGTTGCTTTTTCCCACCCTCATACCACCACCTGCTGAACCCGGGTGGTTTGTTTTTTTCGTGTCCATCTACGAAAAAGTTATGAACAACGCCCAAATTGAAGCCATGCATGCGCATGTCCCATGACTTTTCCGGTGCATAGATAGCCGCCGGTATGGTTACGGCGAGTTGGTCGTCTGGTCTCCGACACAGAAAACAATTTCCAAGCAAACCCTTCAATCCATTGATGACCTTTGGCTGACGATAAAAATCGAGATCTGTAATGTGCATGAACCCGTGAATCATAGAAATATTTGCGTCCGAGCAATTCACTGTTTTGTTTTTGTTCCCATTTACAAGTATCCCATATTCCTCGTGGGTTATCAAGTTTCTTTTTAGCTGACCTTTCTGTTTGTCCAATTCCAAGTCACATACGGTAGCATTGAAAGAATCAACGATTTCTTTCGTAAACTGTTTAGTTGATCCTTGCGGAAAATTATCAAACATGATCACGCCCTTGTTTTTAATAAAATACTCCACGGGATCCTTCTTCCACGGTCTGGACGAGAAGCCGTCCGAGTCGATCCAAAGCATGTACTTGTATTTATCCAGGGCGGGGTGCTCCCAGACGCGAACCGATCGGAACTCTGCTTGCCAGTTGTAGGCCAACCGATTACCTTTCCTGCGTTTAGGATCTCTGCAATTCGAAAACCATGTCAAATTTCCTGGAGACTTCACTTGGCACCGCTCCAAAAATAATTCTCGTTTTTCTGGAGTCAAGGCGGCAATCTCCTCCTGTAAGCCTATATTGTCCATAACGACATCGAATTTGGCGGGAGCGACAACCTTTCGAAATTCTTCGATTTTTTCGTTGGGAATCGGTTCTGCCGAAAATACGACAATATCGTAGAGAACCTTGTGGTTGTACGCAAAATGCAATAGACACAAGGATTGTTCTACAAGCGTCCACTGGTGTGGACCGTGGATTTTTGTGGCAATGACAACCTTTTCGTATCTTTTGAATTCAATTGGTTCTTCGTCTCCAGGAATGGTTGCATTGGTATGGTTCGACAGAGGCGGGTTTTCGATTTCTTTTACAGTGGATGTTTGTTTGCTTGTTTTTGAAGTCGTTTTGTTGGCATGTTCTTCTGTGGTTGGGGATGGTTTGTCAGTTTGATCGATCGCTCTCGTATCAATTTCCTCGTCGTTGATACTTGGTTTTTGAATAGCTGGCTTGATTTCTTTTACAGTGGATGTTTGTTTGCTAGTTTTTGAAGTCGTTTTGTTGGCATGTTCTTCTGTGGTTGGGGATGGTTTGTCAGTTTGATCGATCGCTCTCGTATCAATTTCCTCGTCGTTGATACTTGGTTTTTGAATAGCTGGCTTGATTTCTTTTACAGTGGATGTTTGTTTGCTAGTTTTTGAAGTCGTTTTGTTGGCATGTTCTTCTGTGGTTGGGGATGGTTTGTCAGTTTGATCGATCGCTCTCGTATCAATTTCCTCGTCGTTGATACTTGGTTTTTGAATAGCTGGCTCGGTTGCGTCTCCAGTCGTGGTCGAATTCGTCGCCGATGAAACAACTGAAGTCGGTGATGTCGAAAGAGGAGAGAAATTCTTCTGCAAAGTAGCCAAATACTCCGCATTGTAGGATATTGATTTCGTAGCGTTGAATCCAACAGAAAATGCGAGGAACGTCCAGAAAAACATCGACATGGACCATGCTCCCTGCGACTCTGACCTGGGCGATCCTGGTACAGGGCTACGTTCTATTCGCAACTTCATCCGATATACTTCTTTCTTTAATGTTGAAGATTCTCGGATCAACAATGCTGGCTATACATTGAGATACTCTCGGTAGCTTTCGTCGAGTAGAGTAAATCGTTGAGTAAGTGGTCCTTTTCTTTCCTTTCTGTCATATTGAACGATGAAGACGAGAGGTTCTTCTGATTTCTGGAAATCAAAGGCGCGAAAAGATTGAGATCGGTGTTCAGCTGACGTTCATCGCACTGTTCTTCGTGTAGGCCTGTGTAGAAATTGTACCGAAAAATACCTGTCACGCGATATTTCACACCACAACCTCGTACACCGGTACAGGATAAATAAAAATTTGATCTTGAAATGACCATGAACAACAATGACCCCTGTGCAATGGTACAGTACCTGGTAGTTGCGAGGAAAAGTCATTCGTTCGATTTGGTCTTTCCCAATGGGATGCGGTGTTTGGGGATGCTCTATCGGAAAATAGGGTAGATGGGGGAGGGGAAAGAAATGACACACTCTGTAGTACTTCCTAATGTGTCAATTCTTTGTTGATGTAGATTTTGTTGAATCTTGACAACTTTTTACACTAGCTCCAGCTTTCTTTTCAGATCAGACACAATTTTCTTTTTGCAACCCAATTCATCCTCCTCGGAGTATTGTTTTTGGCAACAGCACCAGCAGTCACCACCATGCTCTTGTTGTTCTTCCACATTCTTGCTTGCCAACAAAGACCACTGTCAACCTCATAATGAAATGCAAGATGGAGTTTGAGCTGTGCCTATCATTCTTAGATTTCCTTTGGGGACCAAGATATTGTATAACCGTGGCAATTCAAAAAGATACAATTTAATGGTACATTTTCTTTATTACTCAATATTATAGACGTGGCTCAGAAATGTAGTACGATACAGTCATTGATTTTGGTCTATCTTTTTCCATGTAATGACTACTTTGACTTAAAAAATTTAAATTCATACAAAACGCACATGCTCAGTACTTGTACTGGTACTCAAATTTTTCAATCCCAACAGTCATGCGACCAAATAGTTTCGTGAGCACGTGCTATTGCTGTACCAGTAGTACAACTCAATATTTAACGAGTCATTACATGGTAATTAGATGGCCTGTTATCCATGCACCATGCAAAATGCACATAGAGAGTTAACTACATGGTGACCAGAAATTTATTCCAGTCTCTAAGAACCAGGAGAAAAGAATGGTGATCATATCAGCATCAACTTGGTTGAGTTGTTGGTGCTGTCTAAGAACACAAATGTTGGAAACAACAAAATCATGACTGGAATCTTCTTCTTCTTCTGGTCTGTAAATACTGGAACTAGAACTGGCACATGGAGCTGAGGCTGGGAATCTTCTTGTTAAGTGAGTATGTAGCATATACTCCAGGTGTTGTTCTTCTTTAATAAATACTGGGGGCAGGAAGTGTTGTTGTTGTTGTTCACAGATGTTGGAAACAACCTAATCAAGACTGAAAGAAGAAGATATAACTTCCAGGCAAACAGGGGATGGCATTCAGTTGAGGTAAACTGCTTAGCTTGAAAGAGTGGGGATAAGCATACTGATTTCATCAGCATCATCTTGGTCAGATTGCTTGAAATGGACTGGAGTTGTTGTTGCTGTCCAACATGAATGATGGGAACAACAACAACAACAACAACAAGAACATCCTGGCCAGAAGCTTCTTGAGGTTTATATATGCTTGAACTGGAACTGGTGCATGGGTGGTGGAGCTAACAAGGCTGGTGAATTGCATTTGAACTGAGTACTGTGTAGCATATACGCCAGGTGTTGTTCTTCAAGGAAATGTCTTGGCTGTATACTGGGGGCTGGGCTTGTTGTTGTTGTTGTTCACAATTGTCAGAAACAACAACATAGTGACTGGAATCAAACTGGAGCATGGATCCAGCTGAGGCAAACCGTAAACAGCTGGTGCTGACACATGTCTCTACAGAAAGTGAAAGTACAGTGTTTTGAATGTTGAGTGATAACGGTGCTTTCAAATGAAAAAGTGTCTGTACAGTTCATTAGTATTATTCCTTCTCACTGTACAAGTAGTATGGTACCATAGTACATTTGGTAATACTCATGTCAATGCTTGCAGTGGTAATGAACACATACAATTTTGTACATCAATTTTGATTAAAATGATTGTTTGTGTTTTCACTACAGTCTTTTTCAATACCAAAAATTAGAAAAACATGTCTTCTTTCCCGGTCCACTTAATGATAAATTGGTTTTGTAAAATGTCAGATTTTTCATTATGGCAGTACAGGTAACCCCCCCCCCCCCCCAGGGAAGGCAGCAAGGGGTGTTCTGGGAATAATGCTGTAGGAGTTTATTGTGGAACAATGATCCAAAATTACTGATTGATGGCCCTGTGGAACACTGCTCAAAAAAATTATTGAATGATGGCCCCTTATTCCCCCCCACAGAAGGAAAACAAAGAAGATGTTTAAATAATCACTCTAATTAGTACAGTACTTCTTCACTGATGTCTCAAAATGGTTGAAAATTTCACTAGTAATGGTTGAAAATAACTCGGTTTCAGCCACCAGCAGGTTCTGTACACTTCTACAAGTAAATAATAATTTTTATGTGGGGGTCACCAGCTCATATCAGAGCCTCTTCATTTATTGCCAGATAACCCTAACTAGTATAGATGTATATGTGGTATGTATGTACTGTATGATTTTCACCAGCAATACACATCTAGTGTACTATGTACTACTATGTTTAAAATGATAGTGTACCACTAAATATCATTTGAGGATTCACAAATTGCACGGAATGATGCAAGAGCGGCCCGTAGACCATTATGCAGATTGTTTACATTGTTGACAGACACATTGCTTTTTCCTTTAGGGTGGAAGTAAAGAGTCTCCCAAGCATCGGGCCTAGTGGATCGGGTAAAATCACTGAATATACCAAGAGTCATATTCAATGGGCAAAGGGTTGTGCTTCCGTGTCTGTCTATTGCAATGCCGTCCATGTAGAATGTAATGGGAACCAACAAGAATTCATCCTTATCCAGCTGACATTTTTTTTTCCACATTTCGACCCACCATTCACCGTGGTGAAGTTCGCAAATGAGGGAGTCCGCCGTAAATTCGGGAACTCTGCAAGGAGAAGTGGGGTTGTTTTCATTGGGAAACAATAAATTTTCTTCTTTGATTAATGAAACATTGGTTAAGAGAGACTTCAATGCTTGTCTAAACAACCTTACATAGATTACTTTGTCGCCGACTTTGTTGTTAGAACGCCATTCAATAAGCTGCGGTGTAAAACAATCACCGCGTAGTTCAGGAACTGCTTGGTAGCATTCTTCTAGAACAGATTGGCGAGTTTTGATCAAACTGCATCCAGTACTCCAGCTAAAACCAGACAACCTCTTGGATTCGATAGCCCATTCATATAGCTCCCTTTTGGCGACTAACGGTATATTGTGGTCTCTCATGATCTTCATTAATTTGATTTTGACCTTAGTTGAGGGAGGTAACAATCAATATTCAAAGGGTGTTTTTATTACATCAATGAGAACAGAGTCGGAGCACTCCTCCTGATGAGCAGGTTTGTAGAAAACATCATTGTTGAGATCAGAATCAATGGATTCCATTGCAGGGTCTATTAAAACACGATCAACTACTTCTTCCACAGAAGGGTTGTACATAACTTGGTCGTCAAGGTTCTGCGGCATGCCACTAGATGGTCCGTCCTGGGTATTAGTTAAAGAAAACTGCTGGTAAACGCCAATCTTTTCCTTTGAAGTTTTGAACAACAACAAACTGAAGTTGTGGGTCCCCTCCCTGACATACACATAATATTCGAAGCAATCCTTGCTGAGATGAAGTTGAGTAAGTAGCTTTGGTGACGTGAAAACGCCGGATTTTTTGTCATGCTTGGCACTGTAAAATATGGGACGCTGGTTTTTCTGATCTCTTGAGCCGTGACAGTTTTGACAGAATACCTTTAGCTTAGGGGGGGGCATGATACAGAACAAAGTTAAGTCCCAAGCAGAGGATGAGTTTTTTCATGCTTTTGAAGTAAAATTATGTTTGTTTTCGGAAACATGTTCTGGATATATGAAGTTGTGAGGGAATTCTCTAAACTATTATCCAATCAGGAAAAACTAAGGGTTGACGCTGAAACTTCGATGGTGTCAACTGCGTGAAACGCGCAAGAATACCGTAGATCCGGTTTGTGTGACGTATGTTGCATGTAGTATGCCAACAATAATATGCTACTACTACTACGCTTATGTATGTCTAAAATGCTATGATACAATATGTTACTATGTCATGATATGATACAACATACTACTACTAGTAGTAGTATGTCGCTAGTACTATCACAATGATATTGTGTGGTGCACCAATGCTGCCTTTCAGCCACACTTGGCTGAAACCATAGTACCGTACCGTACGGTATTGGTATGGTAACCACTAACCACTTAGTCGAATAGTATTACCGGTAGTACGGTACTGTAGGTATGAACGTACCGGCAGAATGGAGCTACCGGCCGGTATGTCCAATGGAGACGTGACTTTTCTTAGTACCGGCATCTCGGACCCCCGCGCGTCGAAAATATTCACGCCGAAGACGCAACGCGCGGAAGGACAAGAAGCAGATTGGGAGAGGGACCCGTAAATCCTTCGCCATATTTCCAATCATTTGTCTCCGTTTCTTCGACTTGCATTACACGTACCCGGTACAAAAACCTTATCTGGTGGTGTAGCATCGTAATTACTTCTGTACTTTCTCTGAAGCACAACGCAACTTCCTTCTGCTGGCGCTTGTTGCTGAGACTAATACTGTTGCTACCGCGTTGTTCAAATTCGATTTATAATATTATTGGGTGCTATCGAGCTGCCGACGAAAAATGAATTCATCAATGCTTAGGAGAGGAGTCCTCCAATGGGGACGACGACAAATCGGAGTTGGTCACCAATCCACAATTTCCGCGACAGTAGCTGCGGCGTCCAGCCACCTCAACCAGCGTGCACCCGCCGCCGCCTCGAGTGTGCTTCGGGCGTGGTTTTCCAGTTATCCTTCCCACGAGGTTGTCGGTCTGCCCGCTCTTTCACCGGTAGGTAACGAGGCCTGGTCCCAAAGATGTCTCGATTGGTCGGACGATGTTGAGCGGTTTGTTTTCCGTTTTCGCTGCTCGCTCGTTGTGCATCTGCTACGAACCGTTGTATTGTAGCATTTTTCAAAGGCACTCATATCATTTCTTGGTCATTCGTGTTCGAATGAATGGATGCGCTCTTCTCAAAAAAATTTATTGTTTCGTGCAGACAATGGAGACGGGAACTATTGCCAGTTGGAACATGGAGGAAGGTGAGAGTTTTGGACCCGGGGATATCATCTGTAGTGTAGAAACGGACAAGGCGACCGTAGACTTCGAGGCGCAAGATGACGGTGTCTTGGCCAAAATCCTGGTGCAGTCTGGATCGGATGAACTAGAGGTAGGTACACCGATTTTGATCACGGTCGAGGAACCGGAGGACGCCGCGGCCTTTAAGGACTACGTTTTGGAAGAGTCGGCACCTGCTGCCGCTGCACCTGCCCCCGCTGCCGAAGCGCCATCAGCTCCGGCACCAGCCGCCCCCGCCGCTCCCGTGGCAGCCCCCGTTGCAGTCCCACCGGTCGCCGCAAGCGGAGGCAAGGTGGTCGCATCTCCCCTTGCTCACATGATTTCCAAGGAGCTTGGATACGACATCTCGACGATCCCCGGCACCGGACCCGATGGCCGCATTATTGCTGCCGATGTGCGCGAGTTTGTGCCTTCCGCAGCGACAGAGGCGGAGGGATTGGCTACACCCGCGCCGGCCCAGGAAGCAATGGCAGCGGCAGCCCCCATTGCCGGAGCAGGATTCACGGACTATCCGCTTTCCGAATCTTCGAAGGAAGTTGCCAATCGCTTGGCGCAGTCAAAACGCAACGTGCCGCACTATTATTTGACCGTTGATATTTGTATGGACGAAGTACTCAAACTCCGAAAAGAATTGTCGGGAGCAGTTGACGACGAAGAAGGACTGGGAGTATACGAATTTATTATCAAGGCCGCTGCCAAGTCCATGAAGGCCGTTCCCGCTGCAAACGCAAGCTGGATGGATAGCGCGGTAAGGGTGTACGATTCTGTTGATATGAACGTAGTTGTTGGAACAGGGGATAACTTGTACACTCCGGTGATCCGGGATTGTGGATCGAAGGGTCTCAAATCCATTTCTGACGAACTAAGTGCCGCCATGTCCGCCGTAGAAAGCGGAGAGGTAACTTCTGAGTTCGGAACGGTTGGAACTTTCACGATCATGAACCTCGGCATGTACGGCATCAAGTCATGTGCGCCCATCATCCGCGAGCCACAAGCGTGTGCCTTGGCACTGGGCGCCATGGAAAATAGAATTGTTCCCAACGACGATCCCGACAGCGAAGAGATTTACAAGGAGAGCGTTTACCTGACGGCGACCATGAGCTTAGACCATCGCGTCGTTGATGGAGCTGCCGGAGCTCCATGGTTGAGCGCCTTCAAATCCTACTTGCAGAGCCCCTCATCGCTTTTGCTGTAGAGAAATACATCGCATCGGTTCCTCCTTTCATGACAATTGATGTGATGCAACAATAACCAATGACACAATAGTAATGAATACAATTTGTATTAGCATCACGTCGTGTTTGATAGAATGCTGCTAGAAAAAATAGTCACAGGAGAGAGAAGAGTCAAATGTTTTGACCCTTGTTTTCAATCTTGGAGGCTGCGAAGGGCTCTGTGCACTAAATATAGAATTACCACCGTTCAAAAATTATCGTGCTTGGATGAAAATAATGTTGGTAATCCGGAGGTTCACAGCATTAATTTAATGTCTCCAACATTTCTTTTTCAATACAAATTCTGTAGAGCTCTACAGAGTGTTGCTGCTCCCCATCTTCAACAACATCATTTACATATGACTCGCTTGTCAAGAAAGCAACAACTTTGTTTACTACGTATGACTCGCTTGTCAAGAAAGAAGCCCAGATTTGGGTCTGTGCCACCAGGAGAATATTTCAAAACTACTAGTAGAAGTACCTCTATAGATTTTGTACTGCTGTGTTCCTTTATGCTAATAGTAGAAAAATTAAACAAATATTGGGACTTCTGCTGGATTAGTGCTCAAATCAATTGTTTACATATTTGTAGTAATACTAGTACTACTATTCATGTGGTTGGGTATGGGTGATTTCTTGTGCATGCTTGTGCTTGTGCTTGTGCTTGTGCTTGTGCTTGTGCTTGTGCTTGTGCTTGTGCTTGTGCT